AGTTAGAGCCGGGCAGGGGAGCCACGTCCTCTGCCAGGGCAGGAGGGACCCGGATCTCCCCTCCCTGTCCCACCCTGGCCAGCGGCTCTCGGTGACCCAGAGCAGCCACCCAAGGTGACCCCCCCCGGTGTGTCACGAGGATTTGGCCTCTGTTGGCCATCGTACCGTGGGGGGAGGAGAGCCTCTGCCGATGAGGGGCACGTTCTCGTAGCGGGGGTTCCCTCCGAAGAGCACGGCCTGGTTCCTGGGGGGCACAGGCAGACCCCCGTCACCGCCCGTGCCCAGCACGGCTCCCTGCCCGCCCCGGGGGCTCGGGGGGTCTCACATGTACTCGGAGACGGGGGCGTTGGACACGGTCTGTGCCGGGGGGTGGAGGCTGCTCTGGCTGCCCAGGCTGCTGCTGTAGCTGCAGAAGCTGCGCAGCTGCCCCCGGGGCGGGCGGTGCGTGGCGATGCGCCGGGCCTGAGGGTTGAAGGGGTCCTCCTCGTCCATGTCATCGTAGTCCCGGTCCCTGTGGGGACAAGGTGCTGGCACAAGCCCTGGCTCCCAAAGGCCGGCTCTGTGCCCACGGTGAGGGCGGGGGGCTGGGGCAGGGGTCTCACACCCACCGCCCGCCCAGCTGCTTCCAGGCGCGCGGGGCCGCGCAGATCACCGTGGAGAAGGCGGCGGCCGCCAGCAGGGAGAAGAGCCCGAGGTAGAGCAGCCCCTCCACGCCGTCGTAGCAGATCCCGATGAGGCCATCCAGGTAATCCTGGCGGGACACGGGCAGGGAAGCGCTGGTGGCACCGCAGGGGGACCCCAGGGCTGGTCCCCAGCCAGCCCCCCCTCACCTTGTGCAGCCCCCGGCAGTCCAGCAGGGCCGTCAGCTGGTGCAGGCTGCTCTCTGAGGAGTTGAGGAGCTGCTGGACACCCAGAAGGTCTTTCTGTGGGAAAAGGGGGGTCAGGCAGCTCTGGGGAGCAGAAGGAGGGATGGGGATCCCTGTTCCCCCATCCTGTACCTCAGCTGTTGGGAAGAGGGGCAGTGCATACTGGATGAGCCCCTGGGTCTGGATCTGCATGGTGGTCAGCGAGCGCTGGAACACGGTCAGAGCCTGCAGGGGGGAGTGGGGAACAGTCACAGACCCCTCCCCAGCCCCAGGACACCCCCGGCCCCAAGGGGGGAGTGTCCCCTGCCCCTGTACCTGCTGGAAGGGGCTGCTCAGGCTCTGGTCACAGTACAGGTAATAATGAACCACCTCTGCAGAGAGAATGGGAACGTCAGCAAGAGCATCCCGGGGCACAGGGAGCTGTTGGGGACACAGTGGCAGTGGGGGGGCACCGGACCCCTGGCTGGGTTTTGGGGTCCTGCCCGTGCTCACCTCACAGCCAGCTCTCACCTGCGCTGATCTCATCGTCTGTCTGGTTCATGATGAACTTGTCCGGGGCCACGCAGAAATCGCTGGTGCCCTGTGGGGACAGAGGGACGTCCCTGATGCCCGGAGTGCTCGGCACAGCCCCAACCAGCCCTTCCCTCCCCTCCTGCCCCACTCACCACCGCGGCCGCCGTGTCCACGGCCAGGGAGGCCCAGCTGAGGACCAGCATGAGCAGCCCACAGCACAGCATCCTGCAGGGAGAGCGGGGAGCACGAGTGGGGAGCATGGCTGGGGGTCCCCACGAGCCCCACGACCATCCCCGGGGTACTCACATGACCAGGAGGCAGCGGGAATGCTTAGCCAGCCCCAGGCAGGCCAGCAGGCAGACGGTGAGGACGAGGATGAAGAAGAGCAGGTAAGCCAACCACCTGTGTGCAGAGGAAGGCTGTCACACATGGCCAGCTCCCCAGCCCTGCTGGGACAGCCCGGAACGCTGGAGCTCACCGGTAATACTCGACATAGGCGACCTGTCCCGACAGCTCGGTGAGGTCAGCGCTGACGCCCCGCCAGGCCGGCAGCCCCTGGAGCTGCAGGGCAATGCTGCTGGCCAGCTGCTGAGTGAACTTGAGGGTCTGCACATAATCCCCCCGCGAGGCCAGGAGCTCGTTCAGCCGCGCCAGGTGCTGCTCCAGCCCTCCCTCCATCTGCAGCGTGGTGCTGGCAACCTGCGGCCACCGGGATGGTCAGCACCCACCAGCCTGGCAGAGCTGCCCCCATCCCTGGAATGCTCTTTCTTCCACCCTGCTGTGCCCAAGCTGGATCCATCCTTCAGAACAGCCCTGCCATGGCCCTGACCCGGCCCTGCCGGGCCACAAAGGTCCCATTCTGTGGGGTGACGTCACCCTCCCGCGCTCGGCACGGCACGGCCAGCCCGCGGGCTCGGCCGGACGTCCCTCCCTGTGCTTTTACCAAACCCAGCACAGGGCATTGATGCACCCTGGGGACTGCAGCCCTACCAGGGAGTCGATGCCAGTGAGGGTCTGGTTGGCGTGGTCCAGGGCATAGAGCAGCTGGAAAACCCCATCGTTGGTCTCGCTGTTCCCATAGAAGCCAATGCCAACGGCCGCGCTGTGGGCAGAGAGGGGACCCCGATGAGAGGGGAGGGACACGCTCACCCCGCTGGACAGGGGACACTCCCCGGGGTGTCCTGCTTTTGGGGCAGGGCAGAGACAAAGAGTGGGACAGGGACAGTGCCACGATGGGAACTTGCTCCTGCTGGTGGCCAGGGGACGGCCGGAGCCACTCCATGGGCATGGTGGGTTGGAAGCTCCTCCTGCCAAACCCTGAGAGATTGAGGGCAGAGGGGCTGGGCCAAGCAGATTAGGGGGATCCACTGGAAGCGCCGTGGCTCCTGATTAAACCTTCGGCTGGGAGCTGAAGCGGCTCCAGGCCCTGTGGCGAGCTCCCTGCAGCTGCTGCAGAGCTCCCCACGGAGCTGGGATGGAGCTCAGAGCTGGCTCCGAGGACAGAGGTGCCCATGGCCGTGTCCTGAGCATGTGCCCACACGTGGCCAGTGCACACGCTGCTCACCAAACTCCACTACAACCGACAGGCACCGGCCCGCTAATGGCCACCGTTAGCCCTTGCACGGCCACCAACGGGCTGCTGGGGGGGTTTAAAGCCCCTGGGAGCTGCAGAGTGGCTCTCTGCCGTGGTGGGGCGGCTGGGGGAGCTCGCTGAGCTCATTAGTGCTGTTTCCCTGTCTCTCCGTTTCCCTGTTCCGTGCGAGGCTCGCAGGCAGCCATCTCGCTCCGCCCCGGCCAAGCGGCCCCTTTGTCTGGAGCGAGGGTCGTGGCCAGGCAGCCAAAGGAGCCCGTGGCCCATCCTGCTCCCACCCAGGCCAGCAATGCCAGGGGACACTCGGGACAGCTGCCCTGAGAGTCCTCCCAGCTGTGGCTGTCCCGAACCGAGGTGGGCTTGGACAGCCCCCAGAGCGGTGCCGGGTGAGGAAGCGTCGTCCCCTTGTCTAATTGTTGTTGCTGCAATTAAGGTCGGGCACAAGGGAGCTGCCAGCTGGGTCACGCTGCCGCCCGCCATCTGCTCTGGGCTGGGATTAGTGATCGGCCACGTTCCCGCCCGGGATTAGCAGGGAAGGCGGCACAGCCGTGACGGGGACGGGGATGGGGCTGGCCCGCAGCTGGTCCCTGGGGCTGCCCCAGCAGCTGCACGGGAGGAGGCAGGGATGGAGCGCATTTAATTGAACAGATCTAATTAAAGCGACTCGCGGCTGGAGCGCAGAGTCCCCTCGGTGACAGGGGGACAGCACCGGGTCCCTGTCCCCGTCCTCACCAGCAGATGAGCCCGGCGGTGACGGCCATCCAGGTGACACAACATGAGTGGGGCCGCTTGGTCTCGGGGTCCTGGTCCCTCTTGCAGCAGCACAGGCAGATCAGGTACACGATGAGGAAGAGGAGGTTGAGGCCGAGGCACACGGCGGCCACCAAGCCCAGGAAAAGCAGCGACTGGAAGAAGAGAGGGGACAGTCATCAGCCGTGACCCGCTGGTGTGCCCGGGATGCGGCCGCGTTCAGCCCCACGGGACTGTCACGTGGGGAAGAGGAAGTGTCCCTTGTCCCCATCCCTGTCCCCATTCCCACGCAGGGCCCCCGAGCCGCGGTGGCCGAGCCGGGGGGTGCAGCCGCCGCTTGCCGGGGATGTCGGGGCACCGGGACCCCGGCGCTGTCCCCCCTCCCCATGCAGGGGTCACGGCGGGCCGTGCCGGGGCGCCGCGGCGGGCCCGGGAGCGCGGGGCAGGGGCTCCGGAGGAGCGATGGAAGCGCTGAGACCGGGAGGGGAGCGGCGGGGCCGGGGGTGCCGGTACCGGCTGGCCCGGGCGGGGGGGGCCGGGCGATGAAAGGCGCTTTGTGCGCCGTGAGATCAGAGCCGGCGCCGGGAGCCGCCGGGGAGCGGCGCGGGGAGCGCGGGGCGAGCGGGACCCAGCGCGGGGAGAGCCCGGGGGGCGCGGGGGTCCCGGGCCGGTACCTGCTGGTAGTCGGGGTCCTGCGGGCGGAAGGTGCTGGGCACGGGCTGCAGGCTCTGGTCGCGGTGCGGGAGCCCGTGCAGCCAGGCCGCCCACCAGGGCGCCAGGTAATCGGCACGGGCGGGCCCCATGGCGGGCCGGGGGTCGCCGCGCTGCCGGGCGGGGGGCGGCGGTGCCGCCACGCCGCGGGCTCTGCCCGCCCGCCCCGGACCCGCCCCGGCAGCCACCCACCGGCACCGGCACCGCCCCCCGGGCCCGCCCCCGCCAGCTGCGCCGTGTCCGCGGCAGGGACGCCGCCAGCGGGACACCGCGCCCCAAAGCTCCTGCGGGACGGGCACCGCACACTGTCGGGCCCCGCTGTACCGGACACCGCGCACAGGACACGCCGCTGGCCCCGTGTGCCAGCCCGGGCCGGGCCATCCCCACCTGTCACCCCCACGGCCACCCACGAGCAAGGCGGTGGCTCAAGGTCTGGTGACCACACGTACCAGAACCGACCCCCGCGCCCCTCTGATGGATACAACACCAGCCCCAGGACCCCCGGAATAGCTCTGAGAGCCCTGGAGTGGCTCCAGGGCCAGGAACAGCAATTTGTGAAACACCAAACGTGACATTTCTAACAGTTTTTTATTTATTTTAACAAACACAGAGAATCCAACAGGTAGCCAGCTGATCCCGGCTCATTTCAGCTCCTTCACGGCCAGACCTGGGGAGGAGAGAGAGGACGTGGTTTGAGGGGGGCTCAGGAATGGACAAGGGGTGCCTGGAGCCCTCCAGCTCTGCAGGGACACCCAGCACTGACCCAAGGCACTGGTGGTGACACCAATTCCAGGGACACTGGGAACTCTGCAGGGACACTCCCACAGGGAGGGGACTCTCACAGCCCCTCTCAATCCCAAAGATTCCCAGGATACCTGGGGGCAGGGACTGCTTCAGCTTCTCAGCCTTCTCCTTGTCGGTGATGACCAGGGTGTAGAGGTACCGGCTGCAGCGCACCTTGAACTTCACATTGTCCTTGTTCTTCTTGATCTTGACAGCTGTGGGGTGGAGGGGACGGCAGGGACACCCCAGTGTCATCCCTGGGAAACCCAACCCGCTCCTGTCCCCGTGCAGAAACCTCCAGCTCCATCCAGAGCGGGGATGGGGAGGAAAAAGCTGCTTGAGGGCTCTCTCAGTTCTCAACTCTCCCACCAAAACATTCCCGAGGGATCCTGCGACAGCCAGATCCAAACAAGCGGGAAAAGAGGGAAAACTCTTCCCGTGTTGTTGAACAGTGAGACGAGGCAGCTCTTCATCTCAATTATCCTCATTTTGTGGTGGCAACAAAAATCCCCCGATGAGGATGAATCACCCGTTGTGAGAGAACTCCCAACGTTCGGCATCCCGCAGATCAGGGGGATATTTGGGAATTGCTTCCCGTGAACTGTGCCTGAGGTTTGGCCAAACAGCCCAGGGTGCCTGGGAACACCATTCCCCAGGAGAACCCAGCCCGGACTCCCAGGAGTGACCTCGGCCACAGCCACCCCAGGTCACCCCCAACACCTCGGCATTCCCAAGCCAAGGAGCTCCTCAGTGTCCACAGGGACACGCTGGAGCATCCCACCCTCCTGCCCCACTCACACTTGGCGTCCTTCCTCCGCGCCGTCAGCAGGAAATCCTTGATCTCCTCAATCTTGCGAGGCTGCAAAGCCAAACACAAACCCGTGGAATCACGGAATGGCTCAGGCTGGAAGGGACAGCTCATCCAGTTCCAGCTCCCATGAGCAGCGGCGGCTCCCGGGCCTGCAGCGCTTCCAGGGATGTGCTCTCCGCACATTCCCAAAGCTCATTCCCCAGGACCCCCGACCCACCGACCCCCCCATTCTGCAGCACGCCCACAACTCGGCAAGCCAGGGACCCCCAAATCCACCCCTCCCTCACCCCCGGGGACCCGCACCCTCCCCTCCCTCACCGCCGGGGACCCCTCGCAGCCCCCCAGCCGCTCACCATGGTTCCAGCCCGGCTTCGGTTGCTCCAACCTGCGGCATAAACGAACCAAGATGGTGTCAGGGCAGCCCCCCGCCCACCGCCTCCCCCGGCCGCCATCGGGTCCCTCCGCGCCCCCTCCTCCCCCGTGCCCGCCCCGGTGCCGCCCGGTGCCGCCAGGCCGCGGATGGCGGCGGATCCCCCGTTCCCCCCCCCCCGGCTCCCCCCGGCCGCCCTCCCC